AAATTATGATTTGGATATATTTTCCGGAAAATTGGGATTCAAAAAAAAAAAAGATTAATATCTTTATTATCATAATGTTAATCCTAATGTTAATTGATATCAAAATGTTATTATTTGATTAATTTGATTGAAATTGGTAATTGCTTTGAATTAATGATAAGCAAATTGAATATCCTATTGATTGATAATGATTTGATGATTTCAAATTGTCATCTTCAATCCTCACTGAAGAAACTCTCATCCATCAAATAATTAAATAAATTGATTGTTTTTTTCGATGAAATTATTTAATTATTCATTATTTTATTGCTATCAAATAATTTTGCAATTATTTGTTGTTTTTTAATTATTCCTATAAATTATTATATGTAAAAAAAAAACAATTGATACTGTTCATTTGGCGTTTGATAATATTGATAGTATTGTGCTTTTCCGGCTTCTGGATCATCCGGATTGCAGCTTACGAGAATGTAAACATTTTGTCGATAGAAGAATGGATCATCGATATGTGATATCTGTAAATTAATGTCACAATAATATGATATTGAAAAAAAAAAATGAATTTTCTCATTAGAAATGATTTCTAATAAAAACAAAAACAATGAAACATTGCATTTCTATTAGAAATAATAAAATTTAAAAATTTAAAGAATTTCAAAAAAAATTCACTTTTTTAAAATTTAAAAATTTTCATTTCTTTACAAAATGTCTCTAAAACTCTAAAAATTTTTATAGTTTTAGAGCAATCTCTAAAACTATAAAAATTCCCTCTCCGCCCATTACAAATATTGCGCTTTGATTTTCAAAAATTTTTGCCAAAGTAGAAATTGACGAATGAATGAATGGTTATGCATTGTTTTTACAATTTTTGACAATGAAATTTATGAAATATTGCAAAATAGGCATTTCATTAATTTTTGATTTAGGAGATGAGTTGTTAGCATGCATGCAAACTGCATTATGCATGCATATTGCATATAACTCAAATTTAAAACGAGATTTTCGTTTTTGTTAAAGTTTCAAAATGTTTCTTTTTTATTTACTATTAACTTTTTATTTTTCACTTCCTCTCTTTTATTTTTAATTAGAAAATGATATAAATTCATCGTACATTCCAGATAGCCTAACAATAATAAATTAATGATTCATTAATTAACTCCATTTGTTTACCTTAACATATTCATTTTCATAATCGATACATTCAGCAAATGCTTCTCTCATGGAAGCACTACCGTACCACATCTCATTTTTTGTCCAACTTACAATCTTGGCCACTTGCTTATTACGATATTCCACTGCTTCATGAATATTGGCTTGTCTAGCTTGTACAAATTTAAATCTAAAAAATTTACTAGACGATAAAATGTTGCATGCTAATGGATCAATAAATTCTAAGAAATTAAAATTTCAAATCTTTTCACTGGTCATTTTTCTATTTGGAAATTAGAATTTCATTCGTTGCACTGGTCACTTCATTTAGCCATATTTTTTCCTCTTCTTTTTTTTATCTCCCACATCCTTTATCCTCTTTCCCGTATCAAATCATAATAACAATTTTAAAGGAATAGATATGAAAAATGAAAAAATTATTATATCGCTGTCATTTATTAGAAAGGTCAAAGATTAAAGATCAAAAATTTTGCCAAAATGTCAAACAAAAAAAAAAAAAGAAAGAATATAATTTTTTTTGTTTTAAAAAGAATTACGCTAAATTTCCATTATTGTTACTTCTGGAAAGTACACGAAAACCACCACAGATTGTTTTAGCCTTATGATAACGATTAACAAAACGAGCACAAACTCCATTTCGAACTAAATATGCATGTCCAAATGTTTCATAATGACCATATTCATCATGTATTACCCTTAAATATATTATTTCATATTTAAATTATAAATTATCGATTATTTTTATAGTTCAATCATTTCTGACACAAACTATTGATTGAATTCAATTTAAATAGATTAAAGATTAACAAGAATTTAAAAAAAAAGAGCAAAAAGTAATAATAATAATAATATGGAAATGTGATTTAATTACTGATTAACTTGATTTATATTGCAGTTTTTTTCATTTATTCTATACCAATTCATTGCAATAAGCTAAATATTATTCAAATAGCTAAATGGCTAAATTTGCTAAATGGCTAATTTGCTAAATGGCTAAAAATGTTGGCTAAATTTGAATGAATGAATGAATAATTTGAAATAAAATTTGAATAATTATCAAATATAATAAATTCTACCAAAAAGCAATGTATGCTTTTCGCGATGGTATTTTAAGATGAGCAGTGTGAAATATCAAAAAATCTCTAACAGTTCGATCACCAAGCAATGAACCATCATTGCTGACCGTTGTCCAGTACTCTTCACCAATCTTAAATTATTTATACAAAAATGAAATTTAAGAAAAAACATGATTATTAATTAATCCAATAAATAATTTCTTGATTTCTGAATTAGGAAAAAAATTACCCATATTGCATCGCATAGAGTAAATATGATAAAAATAACAAACAACATTGATGTGAATTTTTACTGAAAAAAAAATTTTTTTTTAAATTTAACTTATCGAAATATTCATAAATATTCGATACAAACGAATACAATTAGCAATGAAATTATTGAATAAATATTAAGTTTCAAAAAAAAAAAATTAAAATTATAAAATTATGAATGTAAAATGAAAGAGTAAAAAAAAAGAATATCAGTGTCGCGAAAGTCGCAAAAAAAACTAAGATAAATTTTACAATTATATAATAAAATTAGGAATG